GGGTTATTGAAAAATCGGATATTGCGTATTTTTTAATTATGAACGAAACGACTGAATATTAAGTCCCATTTGGACTTAAATTTAATTAAACTTTCTCGTTGGATACCTTTGGAATTCCTCACTGCAAAGAATAACTGAGAAGGGATCAGATGGATTTTACGAGTATTTCCTTTGAAGAGGTTTGCCCTAGCAAACTTTAAGAATATTACAGGCTAAAAAATGTGCAAATAAGTATCTTAGACGGAATTCTCATAGCTCCCAGAGCTGGGTGCACACATGCAGAAATATTTTAAGCCATTCGGGGAGTGCAAAGTCCGTTGAGCAAATAAACTTGGAAATATCATAAATGCATAGTTTTCGTTCGCCTCTTTTTTGGGGTTGGTGAAATCCAGACTTTTCAGACCATTCATGTTTGCCCAGACTCCTCCGAAAAAGGGGGAACAGGACCAATGGCAAGGACAAGCTGCTTCTTCTGCTGCAGTGGCAAGCTGAAAATTTTAATGATATCAAATATATATATGGAGAGGCAAATATGTATATCTGGGCACAATGCAGTCGGCATTAAGTGGAAAAGGATGCGGCAAAGGATACACTCGCACATAGGGGCCATGCATGCGTAGATTTTATGTATTTGGCTCACGATTTAAGCCCTCTGTCTGTCTGTCTGACTGTCTGTGTGGTGTCTGGCAGGACGAAGGAGAAGACATTCGTTGCGGCATAAAATCCAACAATGAGGCGAGAGTCGAGAGTGTCGTCCTGGCCACAGGATATGCGCCAAAAGCATCCGACAATCAACCGAAAACTCTCCCCGAACCGAAATGATGTACTTAATTTGGCGAGTTCTCTCTTTTCACTTTTTTGTCTTCCCGCATCGTTTTTTGTGCTCGCTCCTATTTAATAAACTGCATGCAGTTTTCCGCTCTGGCAAAATGCAAATGAAACTGCAAGCCAGAAGCCGGTAGCCAGAGAAATGAAGAATGGAATCCTTGCTGGGCGCAGGAGCCCAGCTGCACCGCAGGAGTCTAGACGTTGACGTTGTCGTTGTCGGTGTCGGTGTCGCCGCCGATAAGCATACGCCTGGGCGCGGCAAATATTATAATACGTGGCCATTATCCCAGCTATGCCGGCGATAAATCACACCGGGACATCTTTGTGTGCCAACGGCAGACGCAGTCCACCCAGGACGGAGCACAGAAGAGCCCAGCGCGAACCCATTGAAATGGCTGCTGCGCTGTGAAAACTGGAGCAGTTGGAGTCAGATCCGCGTGGCTGGCTTCCCATAACAGACGTTTCTCTGGCCATATCTGAGTCGCTGCATCACGGGCACGCTCATAAAATGTTGCGCCTGCCCCCAGCCAGTACCCAGCCAGCCCTTCCGTATCCCTCATCCCCGTTAGACGACAAATTTGCTTAGAATTTGAAATGCAAGCCAGACAATGGCCGCAGACACGGAAGGACAGAGTCATGAAAGGGACTAAAAGGGAGCTCTGGGTATGAAAAAGAAATAAAAGCTATCCGTAGGAGCAGCCGTGGAGAGCTGACGGGAAGGATTGTTAGTTGGGGATCTGCATTATTATTATTATTAGAGTTGCAAGTTCAAGTTCATGGCTGGGAAACCGTGCCCTCGACTTGGAATGGAAACCTTCCCAAACTAGGAAAGAGAGAGGAAGATGAAGAAGGCAATTTACGGATAAGATACAGAAATTGTAAGATATGATAGCAGAGGACTGGAGCTTATTGTTGGTTAGATTATAGCTTGTTCAATTCTGATATTTTTTAAAGTATTAAATGGATTTGTGAATGAATGCAACTGATTTTACCTTTAAAACATTTTCATTCCCGATTTCTTTTTGTTAAGTTCTATCAAACTCTGTAGCTTTTCCATCATACGGAGTATCCATGATCAAACTTCCTTTATGTATATACAGCGTAAACACTTTATTTGCCTTGGTTCATCATTTGCCATTCGGAACCTCCAGCTCCTTCTTGTCACAATGCCAAACTCCTCGTTTCAGGGGGCCCCGGTGTCTGTTGTCCCTGCACGACGGCCATGGTGAAACTTTTGAATAATTCTGTGGACATTCAGAGCGACATTCAGCATGCTCCATTGGTGCCTGCCCCGCCTCTGTATGCACCAGAGCCAGGACTGATCCCTGTCCTCGTACTCGTACTCATCCTCATCCCTATGCATACAGCACTCTCGTAAGCTCGGACCATTTTATGGCCGTGTCCTGGCCCTGTCTGCTCTCGTGGCCTTCAGACGCTCATAAACAAGCGACACAAGTTGGACACTGCCAGAGTGGCATCAGGAGCAGCAGGAGTAGGGCGACTGGGAGTATCAGCAGCAGAAGGACCAGAAACAGGATGAGAGCACAAGAATAAACGGTAGGTTGGCGGAGGAGGGGGACGGAACCTAATGTGCTGGGCGTGGCTTTGCATTTATTCGTGTGTAAAATTTTAATTGAAATATATATTTAAGCAGGGAAACTGCGACGAATGTCACTTGTATCTGTATCTGCATCTGCATCTGTATCTGTCGCTGTCTCGCTGGCTATGTATCTGCATCTAGCAGAGGCGGATAGCGGATGGCAGCCAAGGATGAGAGTGGGGATTGGGATGCGCGTGTGTTCCGCTAATGTTTTCATTTGCATGCGAAGGACATCAGCCCGGAAGCGAGTTGATATGCAAATGCGTCCCGTGATTATCGAGACAGTCTGTCTGTCTGTTCCTACTCATGCTCCCTCTGCTGGTGCTGGTGCTGGTGCTGCTGCCACATGGCAACCCACCCATGACCATGTCTGGGTGTTAACTATTTGTTTTTGTGCGCTGATTTTATTGGGCTATGTTTCCTGCACTCTCCCGCTTGCCCCCTCTTTTTGGGGCGTGTCCTTTTGTCTAGCCAGCAGGCAGCCGGAAAAAAGCACTCCCAAACTGTAATCCAGCAAATACTCATAGATTGAATTTCAAATTTAAAGTACGGCCGTAATTGTAAAAATTGTAACTGTTAAAGGTCTCCTGGTCCGGATCCTGCATCTTGGCTTTACCATACGGCCTGAGGAGCGTTCCATTGGGTATATGCCTGTCATTGTGGTATATCTCCCCGGGAGCACAGAGCGCAGGATATGTGGAGTCCCGACGCTTGCAGGCACTGCCCGGCCTGGCTGTCAGTTTGTAGAGGCTTCGATTGATGAAGACATCCGTGCTGAAGGCGCAGACGAGCACGAAATGGTGGAAGTAGCTCAAGGTGAAGCGCATCCCCTTACAACCCACATGGGTATTCGCCTCCGAAATGAGAAGAGCGGCATTGGCGATTTTTCTAAAGAAAAAGAAATACTGAATATTGCTGAAAGGGCAACACTGCTTCTGTCCACAGAAATCTATCTGTCGATTCCTGTCATAATTTGTAAAAGCTGCTTAATTTTGTTTTACAACCATTGATGATTACGCATTAATTTTTGCGGAAAAAGCAGTTGGATAATTACTTTGGGAACTCTGCACCAACAATTCCAATGGTAAAAAGTGGTTTAGCTATGACGATGAGCGCCCAGTTCAGCTGAGCAGCCCTCGCATGTGTTACAAGATCTATCTCAAGGAATACGAATCTTTAAAGTTCATCAATCTTACATGTCTCCAAGTTTGTCCGGCATTGAGATGACCATCCCCAAAGAGATATCCGCCAGCCTGTCCATCCAACCGTTGATTAGTTTTGTTATTATTATATAATCTGGGATCTCGTCCGGGTCCATCTTCCCTGCGTATTTGAGCGCATCGAGGATGGACCCAACATAACAGAAATTCTTCGTGCTCAAGCAATAGTTCTCCATGCTGCAGGACAAGAGTGTCAACTTGGCCATGTACTCCAGTTCCATGGACCAACTCATACTGGACATGCGGGCGGCTGGTCTGAGCTTCTTCTGCCCACTGGCGACACTATTGCGGAACTTATTGAAGGCACTCAATAGGGACTTGCGGTGGATTTTCATGGGTACAATTCTGGTATCGGGCAGACATTTTGGGTTGAATTTCTGGAAAACGTTTTATAAGACCTTTTTCTTGATCATATTGCTTTTCTTACGCCGTCATTGTCGCAGCCCAGATTATTCCGCCCGCAGTCGGATAGATTGCAATAACTTCCACTACCAAGTCCGCAAAGGAAGGAAAAAACGAGTAGCAACGCTGTCAAGCATTTGATGTACATATCGCTGGATTTCTGCTCGAAAACTGACACTTGGGTCTTCGGTACACGCGTATATATACCCCGGCGCTATGGTTGTTCTGAGGAATGCCAGATTTTGCATATCCGAATATTGCTGGGTGAAGAGGACCGGCAGTCGTTCGATTGAAACCAAACTATCAATTACTTCTACATAATTTTGTATTAGCTCAGGTATATCTACATATGTCAGAGCCTGGTTAGTATTGAGCGGCACATCGTGCCCTTGAGTTTCGACAGCCATTCTGTCTATCTGGCGATGAAGCCAGAAGTGTATGGTATTATATTATATAATAATATACATATAACATCACATACGTATAAGAGTAAACTGCGCTATGATTTATTGATGATATATTCGTGATATATACAGATTATAGCGTAATACCTGTCATACTAGAAAGTTCGACTGCGACATATACGGTGTATGAACTGGTAAATCTATATACTGTATGGATAGTGGTCGAATCCAGACAGGTGGCAACTCTATCGGCGCCAAGCGGCGCATGTGGCTGGCATCCTTATCAAAAGCCGAAAGTTCGCAATATCTCGGATAATAGATCAGCGAAGATCCTATTTTCACAGGATCGTGAGGTTCCAAGACTGTCGGTCGACATCAAAATCTCTATGGCGAAAACGTGGCATATTTTTGTCAAATGTAATGATGATTTTTTGCAGAAATCTTCTGAAAGTAGATCTACTTTTGGGGTGCTATTCGATGAAGAGGACTCTCACGATATGCAAATGCGTCCCGTGATCCCGCTACAAGCCGAATAAGTCACAGGGCTTAGGTTTAAATATAAAATGGATTTCTTTAATAGCGGGTTTATTTTCAATATAATTGGGGTGTTCTTCGTTTTTCGCACTCTCCTTTCGATAGTGGGAAAACAGATAATTTTAAAGAACTCTTATAGAGAAGCTGCTGCTAAAAGTTGTTCCTGTAAAAATTGTAACTGTAAAAGGCACCCCGGTCCGGATCCCGTTGAATTTTGGCGTTGCCGTGTGGCCTGAGGAGCGTGCCATTGGGTATCTGCCTGTCATTGTGGTATATCTCCCCGGGAGCACAAAGCGCAGGATAAGTGGAGTCCCGACGCTTGCAGGCACTGCCCGGCCTGGCCGTCAATTTGTAGAGGCTTCGGTTGATGAAGACATCCGTGCTGAAGGCGCAGACGAACACGAAATGATGGAAGTGGCTGAAGACGAAGCGCATGGCCTGACAACCTACATGGGTATTCGCCTCCGAAATGAGAATAGCGGCATTGGCGATTTTTCTAAAGAAATATGGGATAAATAGATAAATAAACAAATAAAATCACATTCTTACATGTCTCCAAGATCTTTCGGCATATAGATGACCATCCCCAAAGGGATATCCACCAGCCTGTCCATCCAACCGTTGATCAGTTTTGTCATTAGTTCATAGTCTTTGAATTCGTCCAGCCTCCCTGGGTATTTGAACACATCGAAGATGGACCCAACATAGTAGAAATTCTCCGTGCTCAAGCAAAACTTCTCCATGCTGCAGGACATGGCTGCCAGTCCGGCCATGTACTCCAGCTCCTTGGACCAGCTCATGCGGGACATGCGGGCGGCTGGCCTTAGCTTCTTTTTCCCACTGGCGACACTGTTGCGGAACTCATTGAAGACGCTCAGCAGGGATATGCGGTAGATTGTCATGGGTATGAGCCTGGTATTGGGCATACATTTCAAGTTGAATTTCTGGAAAGAACCAAGCCCTTCATTAGACTCTTTCTGGATCCCACTCATGTTGGTACTCCTCTTACGCCGTCGTTGTCGCAGGCGAGATTATTCTCCCCGCAGTCGGATAGATTGCAATACTTTCCACTCCCAAGTCCGTAAGGGAGAAAAAAGACGAGTAGCAACGCTGTCAAGCATTTGATGTTCATATCGTTCTATTTCGGCTCGAAAACTGGCTTTTGGGTCTCCAATATATGCGTATATATAGCCCGGCGCTATGGTTGTTCTGGGAAATTTTCGTGGTATGCAAGATATGGCTGGAAACGGGTATACGATTATTGCTGGAGGAAGGGGAACGGCAGTTGTTCGACGGAATCCAAACTATCAATTACTTCTTCATAATTTAAAATCGGCAGATTTTCTCTTTGAAATATTGTTTTTTTTTTTTACTTTAAAGACTTAATCCGATATACCCATTCGTTCCCCCACTCCTCCCTTCCTTCTGCTTTATACTTCCTACGGAATATCCCCAACAATTTGTTGTAAATTAGCTAAGCAACGCATTCTGCATTGATTAGGCGGCAACGAGGTAGGTAGAAACCAGATAGGTGCCAGAGCCCCACCGCATTCCCCGCACCGCCGGGTCCCGACACTCTTTGCGGCAAGCGGCGCATGTGGCTGGCACATTTGTCAAACGGCAGCGGCAGTCGGCAAAACTTCAACTTCAACATCAGCGCCAACGCAAAAGTAAAACTGAGCAAAACTTCAGCTGCGTCTCCTGAGCCGAGTGTTAAATGAAAGATATAGTACGTGCCCCCCGCATAGCCTTCTCCGACCCGTCCCAAACGCTGCTCCATACAGGCGCCCACCTTGCAAAACTATAAACAATTTATGGGTTTGGGAAGTCTTTTGCACCACGGAGGCCCCTCCTCCTCGCAGGCGACATGCGGTGCATGCCAAGCGCCTTTGCATTTTCTGTCAATTGTGCTGGCAACATATTGGGGCCTGGACCTGGTCGCCAGCAACATGTTGACTACGTGGCAGAGCTTCACGTATTGCATTACAACTGGCATGGCCCCTGTCCCTTGTCCCCTGTCCCTTGTCTCATGCCACACAACATTGCGAACTAGTTTACAGTTGTTTTAGTGCCGCGGGTACACTGAGCGGAACGTGTGGAATCTATGTGGAATGAGCCTCTTCTAAGCCCGTACCTTTTTTCACAGTGCAGCCAGTTTTTGTTGTAGCTGCTTGCTGATTTGTCTATCACTCGGTTGGGCGGCAACATTGTTGTTGCTGCACAAAAACTTTGTTGCACTTGAACTTATGCCCCACGGTTATTTGGCTAATTATTCGCCTGGGCACTTGGCCACTTTGTTGCATCCACTGCACTTCCCCTTGCCCCACTGCTGGTATCATTTACACAAAAAAAATATTCTTGCAACAGCAACAGCGAAAAGAAGAAGAGCTACGATCTCGTTGAAAGTTTAACAAGTGTTAACTTTGCCATTTTCATTTTCATTTCTTTGGGTTTTATTTTGTATTCATTTTACAGATAAGCTGGGGAAAATGGGCAAAAGAAAATGGGGGAAAATCCGTGGAAGAAGCAAGGGTCGTGCCGTGGATTGTGGGGCAGCTGCTGCTGATGCTGCCTCTCCCTCGGTGCAACTACAGTGAAATAATTTTAAATGACCGCAAGTGTGTAATTAAAGTGCAGCGCATAATAAGAACAACAATTATACCAGGGAGGAGAGGGAAAACAACAATTACGAATGGAAACTGAAGCAATCAGCTTTTCTCAGCACTCTCCTTGCCGTTGGAAATCCTCAAGGAGTTGAACTTTTGGCCGGATATTCCCCAAATTGGGACTCGACTCGACCCGAAGCCGAAGCCAAAGCCAAAGCCAAGGCCCAAGCCATGGCTTGATTTCACCGCGAGAGCTAAGCTGTGCAGAATCGAAATTAAAATTAATTAAGCAAAATGCTCAAGTGCTATGGGGCTTCATTGTTTATGGATTGTAATTGAAATGTTCTTTATCAAGTGTGTGCACTTCAGGCGGAGGCAAGTGCACTGGAACGTGGGAAATGCTAAAAAATGGCATCAAATAATTGTAATTTGAAACCTTTTTAATGAAAGAATGCTGCAAATTATCATCCTTAAAGTATTTATGGTATAACCATATAGGATTATATTGATTTATGATCTATTGTTACTCTTCCTTTAAATATTAATCATCTCTCATTGTCGTTTCCCTCATTAAATAGGTAATAATTAATACTTTTCATGGTGATTTCACCATTCATTTATCGTGACACCCACCCGCATAAACCTTCGTGAATCCAAATGGCGGTGAATGGCCAAAAGTCGAAACATTTAATTATTTGCATTTATCGCTGATTTCTGATTTCGCCAGTCCACTGTCTCTCCCCCATCCGCTTAGTATCTTTTGGCTGTTGCTGGTTTAACATGCAGCTGGATGCAGTGCAACTTCCGCTCGGCTGCCTACTTCCGTTTGGCCGGGGACCCCAATTGGAACCCCATTCGACCACGGCCAGAGTCCACATTTGTGATCCATTTGGCAGCCCTCCCGACAGCAGACAGCAGCCAGCAGCCACTTTTATGTGTATTTAAAATCGTTAAAAATAATCTGCAAATTGTGAATTTTTAATGCATTTCGTGTCTGCTCTGGTCTGCTCTGCTGATGGCTTCTCTTGCCATTGCCAATGGTAGTCCAATGGGGTGTCGTGGTCCCTGGGGCAATAATGGCGTCTGGTGGGCGCGTCAGCGTCGGCGTCAGCGTCTGGTCATCGTCAACCTCAACCTCATCCTCATCATCATCATTATCATCAACAAAGGCATTGTCCCCGAATCATCATCGTAGTCATCATCATCACAGGCATCCCATCGTCATTTGCATTTATTGTTTTTGTGCCTTTGTGTGCGAAAAGTGATCAGCGATTGCCTTGGACCCAGGACACAGGACACAGGATCACACAGCCATCGTATACATACTGTCTCCCTCTCTAGGCTCTCCCTCTATATAAGGATGTGCGTATAATATATATATACATACATACACAAATATGCATATGGAAATATGTCTCATTGTCCCGGAGTCCTGCATTGATTGCACAACGGAAGTGTTGTGGCGGAATTAAAATAAATAAATGCATTCGCATTTCCCACTGGAGTCAACTCTCATCTGGGGACAGGCTTCCTCGAGTGCGGATTGCACTGAGGCTGGCTCGGGGTCCGGCTCTGGCTCTGTCTCTGTCTCTGGCTTGTTGCTTCATTTGTTGCACATTAAACAAGGCCATAAGTTACTGCTGCTGGCTCAGTAGTTGACAGCCTTTAATGGTTAAATTTGCTCTATCTGCAGCGAGTTGATTGCCAAAAGGGTTCTTATAACTGTGGAGATTATATTTATATCCGTAGAAGCAAGTTAAAGTATCTCAAAGAATGTGTATTCCATTTCAGTGACTCACTTTCAGGTCTCCTAAAAGTATGCAAACAATTCGAAATGGATTGATAAAACACCTCATTATTCCTGAAATTATATTCTGCCCATTATAATATTGTTGTCATCACTTAAATTCTCCCCAAAATTCCCAAATACACACTCTTTAAGGTGGAAACTTTATTCGTGTTATTGATTTGAGGCAAAGGTAACCGAATTTTGCGGCTCATTTAATCCACAACACGTACAGCTGTTCGAAACACGTACATATCTGGCAGATACAGATACAACCCCTCAAAAGCAGGCAGCAGGCAGCCGGCAGCCGAAGCCGAAGCCAGAAACAAATCAAATCGAAGGTTGCCGCTTACTTTGATGTCTCATTAGTCGGGCGGTTGCCAGGTGATGACGATGAAGACCACCATGAGGATGAGATGGAAACTGAGACCGAGACCGAGACCGAGCCCGAGATGGAAACCCAGATGGAATGTAGGTTGGTAGCCAGCCAGCAATTGGGGGCATAGTTACACGTATTTCGAGAGCGTGTGCCACAAGTTAACCCTGCCAGCTGCAACGACTGTGTCCGTCTCCGCATCCGTATTCGTATCTATTTCACCTGATTTTGGTTTCCTTTACAGATACTTGTTTGTCTGCCAGAGGGGAGCATACGTATAATCAGTGGGTTGGTTTGGGATTACCTATTAGGATCATTTTGGTTTGGTAATTGAATGAAGGAGGAGGCAACATCGATCTGAAGTGAACTCTTTCGCCGGCTCCTCCAAACACACTTGAAGTATGACAACACTTAATGGTAAAATTAATTAACATAAAAATTCCCATGGCCGATGGCCGTTGCCGGAAATGCCCGGCCATAACATAACCGGGCGGGGAAATGCAGATTTTTACTGGACATCGACGTCGATATCGATGGCGATGTTGGGGGAGTGGGTGGCCGGAATATCCGCATATCCGTGTGCACTCAAAGCTGAAGTGTTGCGGTGTGGCACTTGCGATAATGAAGCGCTGAAAATATTTGCATATTGCCAATTTGCATTCAAGTTGCGGCTTAAAGTTGCCTCATTAAACCTGAGGCTGGGATGCCAGAATATGCATGCAATCTGACGACAGATTCTGTTCTTAGTTTTCCTCAAGTGGTTCCCCATCCAAGGGCACTTCATCAATAACTTCCGCAAGACGCCCCTACTGCCCTTCCCCACAAAATACGAGCGTATTCCCCTAACGAATATCTTACCTCAACAACAATTACAACTTTTGCCTTGTTTTCTGAAGATTCTCCTTCTGGTTCCCGAAACTTTTCGCAGTCGGCAAACAAAGTTTTCAATGTTGCCGCATATTAAACAAAATAAGAGGAATATATTTATACCATTCCCCCCCATAAAAAAAAATAGAAATAGAAAAGTTCAGCATTTTTTGGGGATGGATCCAAAAGTTGCCTTCTTCTTTTCTCTTAGGGCATTTTTACTTTAATGCTCCGATGCTCTCCGGCGGTAGGAGAAGTTTACGAGAGCTTGGTCACCCGAAGTCCGCCATCTAATAAACCAGAGTGGAAATAGAGGCAAACATTTTTCGGGCTTTGGCTAAAAACTCAACTTTTACTAGGGCTAATAGTGGGAGCATAAACTTGGCACACAGGTTGGCTGGCAGGCGCCCGTTCCCGTCCATCCTCTGCACCGCACGGGCGCAGAAATTATGAAAGCCTCGAGCGGAGTCCGTAGTCAGTAGTCCGTGGTCCGTGGT